ACATACTAACTTTTACCTATTTTAACGTACCGAAACACGTACAAACGACGTTCCGTTTTACAACCAAACTTTACAGAAAGCGACTTAAACATATATAAGACTTGTACCGGGCGCCGGAACCAAAATACGAGCCTGATACCATAGTCTTTTAATCAAATTTTATTTTTATTTTCCTTAATCATTTCCAGAAAATAATTTCACACAAAAATTCATTTCTCGGGCTTGGGACCTCGGAATTCGATTCCGGGCATATGCCCAAGTCCCATATTTTCCTACGGACCCTCCGGGACCTTCAAATCACGGGTCCGGGTCCGTTTACCCAAAATGTTGACCGAAGTCAAATTTATCCAATTTAATATCAAAATTTAGCATTTTTCTCACATAATTCATATTTAAGCTTTCCGGCTATGCGCCCGGATTGCGCACGCAAATCGAGGCAACCCCAAATGAGGTTTTCAAGGCCTTGGAAGCACGTAATGAATAAGAAAACAGGTGATGACCCTTTGGGTCGTCACAAATTGTGATACAAGTATGATACATTTATGTTTTAGGCATTGATGCATCTGATACAATTCAACTACAAATATGATACAGTTATCATACAATTTCTGAATATTTTTTAATAATATAAAGCTATAGGCAATGGTGAAGAGAGAAGATGGAGATTCTGGACGTAGATTATGGAATTTTGATTTTAAAATAAACGAGAGAGAAGAGGAGAATGGAAAAAAAGGAAAGGATATAATTGAATCCCTTAATTAAAGGCACTAATATTGGGGTGGGAGCCTTTTAAGAAGCAATGCATACAAGTTGTAAGAAAAACCTAGATACTTATCAAAAACAGCAAACCATAGAGAACACAGGCAAATAAGTTTCTAATATAGTATAACTAAATAAAAATCTCTTATAAGAGTCGATGGTCCAAAATATTAATATTGACCAGACACTCAAACTATTGGGCCTTAAATAACACAATTAGGGTAAAAATAGCACGGGCTAGCCAGTTTTCGGACTAGTCATTCAAAAATAGCTAGCGTTTGCAAAGTCAATGAAAAATAGACACTATTTTGCTGCAACAGGGACTGGTCCAACATAATATACTGAAGATTAGTGCAACTGTGTATGAACTTCCAGCATATTATGCTGGAACTCCTACCCGCGGAAAGTTCCAGCATAATATACTGGAGATTGGAGCACATGTGTATGAACTTACAGCATATTATACTGGACCGGTATATTATACTGGAACTCCAGTATATTATGCAGAGTTCTAGTATACTTATGCTGGAACTCCATTATAATATGCTGGAGTTCCAGTATACTTATACTAGAACTCCATTATAATATACTAGAGTTTCAGTATACTTATGCTGTAGTATTTTCCGGATTTTGAACAATGTTTTCGTTTAGATTTATCTTTACATGAAAAATGGCTAAACTTCAATTTGAAACTGTGGCTATTATTAAATGACCACTTGTAAATCTGGTTATTTTTGAATTTCTCACGCAATTGGAAGCACAGAAAAGCCCATGACTACCAGAAATGTCACCTAAAGCACCAGGCCCAACAACACCAATCAGTTAAAAAGAACATCAGATTATGATACGTTGAAAGATTCAGACCACAGAATATGGCGCCAACTAAGGGCGGGAACAGACAGGCTAACTGACGGCGAATGGTCACATGGGATTCGGATTCTCTTGTCATGAGCCGCAAAATTCTATGGACCCCACATTTAATACCCGACAGTTTACCCGCTACCGATCTTCCCGGTCATCCATCAACCTTAATTTCTAGAATTTTTTTTATAAAAACTAAATACTTTTCCATTTCACAAATCTTTCATTAATTAGACTTTTCCAAAATTACCCAAAATTGCTGTGAGATTAAAGTGAAAAATCTCTCTTTGTTTTGACACATTTTGTTCTTTCGCTCTCTCTGCGAATAAGGCTCTTTTTTTTTTTAAATCTCTAAATAGAGGAGGGCTGTTCGCAGAGAGGGTTAAAGAATTACATATTATTATTAACAATGGCGATAATTGGTTCTAGTAAGGTGCTGTTTGGTTTCTTTGCTGCATTTGTCCTAATTTTCTCCATCTTTTTACCTACTGTTCAGGGTCAAGAATCTTTTGCTCCGACCCCTGCTCCGGCAAGTGACGGTTAGTTTTTTTCTTTTCTAAAAGTTTATTTTCATTTCCTTTTTCTTGCTTAATATATGCCCTTTTGTTTGGTTTACGAGAAAAGTCTGGGAAATGTAACAAATCTAAAATAAGTAAATGAGTAATTTTTAACTATTCTCATTATCTTCCTCTGGTTAATTTTGGAGATATGTTAACTTCCTTTGATTAGTGTATCTTCTAGAGAAGGTAACGAGAATCTCGTAATTTTCGATCATATAGTTTTTGCATATTTTTTTAGAGGACAATCTTACGCATGAATTACACAATTATGCTCTATACTCTGATTTATAACTTTTGATACATGTTGAATTCTTACAACATTATGCTTAATATGAATTAAACAGGAAATAACAAGAATGATTAGCTTGTTTAAGGTATTAAGATTGAAAATCCGATTTAAATCCGATCAAGTATAGGGACAAATTACGTCCTCCAGCCTCAATTATTAGTCGTCTTACTAAATTAAATTTCTTTTAAAACGTTTAATGTTTTAAAAGGGCAAGAATTATTTATTACTCCCTCCGATCCACTTTAAGTGATTTTTTGTGACCCACAATATTTAATTTTTTAGATATCAAGAAAGAATTAACTTTTTCTTTTCAAAGTTGTCATCGGAGTAAAGTGTCTGGTAGTAGTTTGTTATATTTTCATTGAGCAAATTAAGGTTAATATGGTCAATTTCATCGTTAATTAATGCTAAAAGATGAATTCCTTAATATATGTGAAAAGAGTCAAAAAAAAAAAAATCAGTTAAAATAAACCGGAAGAAATACCTTTTTGTTTTCAAATTCCCCTTCCCTACTTCAATTAGTGGATTGCTAATCAAATGAGATATTTAAGAGAGAGAAATAAGTAGTAATTTAGATAAATAATCTCATACTAAAAGCTATTAAATGTCTTTTATCGTACAAAAATGTTAAAAAGACAGAAAATATGAACTTGTATAAATAAAACATTAGTGTTTACACCTTGTAGTTCCTATTTTTGTTTCGTTTTTCTTATTCTATTCTTCTAAATTGATTTCTACTATTGTGTTCAGGAACAACAATTGACCAAGGGATTGCCTACGTATTAATGTTGTTGGCATTGGCAGTAACATACTTAATTCATGCCGCTGATGTCCCTTTTGGTGTCTAAAAAAGTTTGATTCAGTGAAGATAATTAATTTCTTGAGTGCCTATGATTTTGGGACATATATAAGGTTGTTGTGGTGTGTCTAGGACATGTAAATTTTGTCATTTTTATTCAAAGATTCTAACTTTTGACAAGCTATTTGTTCTGAGATTTTCCAACAGAATTTATATAATTCCACATTATTTTAACCTTTTTCTTAGCCTTATTTCCGAGTACCCTCTTATTTTTGTGTTTATTGTCTTTAGTTCTTTGTTTCATTTTCACAACAACACTATACTGAATGATTGTTTTCTTTTAACGTTCAAGTGTTCGGAAATATCCTCTCTACCTTTACAAGGTAGGGATAAGGTCTGCGTCCACAATACCCTCCTCAGACCTTACTTATGGGATCACATTCGGTATGTTACTGTTGTTGTAACGTTCAAGTGTTCGTTCATACCTTTGTCGTCAACCGTCTTGAATTTGTCTGGCCATTAACGAAGTTCCAGCGTGAAATGCGTGGACTTCATGCATCAAACTACTTCAAGGAAAAAGGTCCAAATTAATCCAAGTACGGGGTAGGTATCGGATATTCGTGGTGAGCATGGGTAGGTATCGAACAACCTCGCTGAGCACGGATAAGTTTCGAATATCTGTGATAAATACCGGTAGGTATCTAATATCCGTGCTGAGCACGAGTAGATATCAGGTATATATGCTGAACACGGGCAGATATCGAATATATGTGCGGAACACGGATAGGTACCGAGTACTCATGCTAAGTTACATGTACTCATGCTGAGTAGAGGTAGATACCAAGTACTCGTGCTAAAGAGCGGATAGATATCGGGCATCCGCGCTAAGGTTGGGGGTGTACATTCGATTTAGACCCTTATCGATAATTATTTATCGATTATCGATTTGTACATATGTTTATCGTTATCGTTTCAATAAGGTTTCGATTTTTTCGATTTCGATTTATCGATTTTTGGGGCTTATCGATTCGGTTATCGATTACACCAATAAGGAAATTTGCGGGATTCCATGAAAAGTATATCGCTATAAACACGCCTAACTAATATGAACCAAAAGAAGCTAAAATAAGACGAACACCGTTTATAACATAAAAATTGTGTCAACAAGCACATGCAAAGAAACTAAAGCAAGGGATCAAATGTATGCCACCAACACTCCAACGGTATAAAAAAAAAATACATCATCACGGCTAATTCTATTTTCCATTAATTTGAACTTCATTCCCTTGAGCTTTAAATATGATCATTCCTTAAATGTGATAGATGAAATAATAGGGATAGGGACTTAGGGTAAAGGAAAGGGTATTATAGAATAAGGGTTAAAAAAAAATTTTTTTTTTTAGTATTTCTTATCGGTTTATCGATAAACCGATAACCGAAGAGGACAAAATCGAAATCGAAATCGATAACTCGATAAGGAAAATTTCGAAATCAAAATCGAAATCGATAAATCGATAAACCGATATCGATAAACCGATAACAAATAATCGATTCGATTTATCGATAAACCGATTCGAATGCACACCCCTAGCTAAGGTACCGAGCACAGTGTTGATGGTCCAAGTACCCATGCATAAGACATTGGAGCATTGCACAATTGGCCCATGTCTATTCTTGAAAATCCTATCCTAGAAAGGAAAAGGAAAAATAATATCGTATAGCCGCTGTAAAAATAATAGTCGAAAAAATATATAAAATTTGTATATTCTTTTTGTGTATATATATATTATGTATGTTATATACAAAAATTATACAAGTTTTATACACTTTTTTTACTACCAGATGTAAATAATTTCTGGCGCGGGCTAAAAGTGATAATACCCCAAAGGAAAATTGACACAGCCTGGCTTAAGATGTTTGTTATAAGGCCCAAAAACGCGGAGTCCAGCAGTTATCCGTGGGCTTTCATCCTAATATTGTGCACTTTTGGCCCAAAATAGTTGAGTGTAACATTCCCCTATTCTCTCTCCCACTTACAATTTGTTTCTAATTTATATATGATACTAATAGTTAATATTGATTAAGTTTTAGTTATGTCAATACGTTTAATTTGTTCATTGTTTGTAATGAGTCTTTTTAATCATGTAAGATTTATATGCCACCAAAAATGTACAGAAATTCTAAAGCTAGAAACCTATATGCCACCAAAAATGTACAGAAATTCTAAAGCTAGAAACCTAATCTTTGGTAAAAATAGCACGGTCTAGCTAGTTTTCGGACTGGTCATTCAAAAATAGCTAGCGTTTGCCAAGTCATTGAAAAATAGCCACCATTTTGCTGAAACAGAGACCGGTCCAGCATAATATACTGGAGTTCGGTGTACCCGTGCATGAACTTCCAGCATATTATACTAGACTGGTATACGTTGCTCGCTCCAGTATAATATACTGGAGTTCCAATATACTTTGCTGGAACTTCAGTATATTATACTGGAGTTCCAGCAAAGTATACCGGAACTCCAAACTCCAGTATAATTTGCTGTAACTCCAGTATAATATACTGGAGTATTTTCCGGATTTTGAACAGTGTTTTCATTCAGATTTATCTTTACATGAAAAGTGGCTAAATTTCGATGACTTTTGAAACTGTGGCTATATTTGAATTTCTCCCTAATTTTTTTCTATAATATTGGACTAAGACAGTTTATATGGAGGGACATAAATTAGAAATTAATTTAAACTGCTTAACTTAATTTGAATTGAGACGTAATTGTTATTGTTTAGTGAGATACTAACCAAGTAACTTGAAGAGAATGTCCAATTGAGCAACAATAATCAAAAGAAGGGATCTTTACATAAATCGCTGGACATCTTTATTATTTTCATTTTCTAGCCATATATATTGATTATACATAATTATACACATGTAGTACATAATTATGTATGTATTATATCATCACCGGCTATCTTTAGTTTAAGCAATTAAGTGAGCGGCTAATTTGCGTTCTTCTCAAAAGATGGACTCATATTACAAGTTGAATTGTGACATTATTGGCTATTGAGTTGCCTCATATTAACTATGAAGTTGACTAGAACAGTTGACTTTTTGGTTAGCAAAAAATATATACCATTAGTAGTTTATTGAGACCCCATATAAAGCATGATATTTGAAAATCTTGCTACAATGTATTTGTATAAAGAGGCCCACAAGAAATGTACCAAATGTGGCATGCCAAGCGTGAATATAATAAATTTAGCCATTTGTACTTGTCATGTAAAATATCATGCCTCTTTATGTGTCTACAGGCTTCAATTTTACAAACAATTTTTAAAAAAATATTAAAACAAAATTATAAAAATATTAAAGAAAGAAAAGGAAATGAGCATTTCATTCTGGGTATGGGCCCAGCCCAAAGATTTCTTACATTCCGCCCCATCACTTTCCTGTCGGTAGTTGAGAGTGACATTTTGGGTTTTCCAAACCCCTTTTTAGCGACACTATATAGTCGCAGTAAAAATAATAGTCGAAAAATATATAAAATTAAATATTTTTTGTATAAATATATATACATTTTGTATGCTATACATAAAAATTATATAATTATATACACTTTTGACTATCAAATATAAATAATTTCTAATGCGGGATAAAAGTGATAATAACCCTTTTTTAGCAGTCTAATTGCAAGAAGGGACACACAACTATGGCCTTGGATATTTCACCCATACATCGCCATCAAAATGCAATTACCCTGTCTTGCCACGTGTAATCCTATTCAGAGAAAAAATATTAATAAAAGAAATAGAATCTTCTATATACCAATATAAATATATAATAGTACCTCCATACATATTTCACATGACTGCCTTCCTCCTTTGTTGCTAAATATTTAAAAAGGAGATTTACCAGCAGTTCATATGCATTATTACATTAGTGGACCACTTTTTATGCTCTTTTTTGGTTCATGAATTAAGTTATTTTTCTTCCTCAAAAGAGACATCAAGTGGACAAGAGTCACACTTACAACCCTAGTATCATAAGTTCAAATCTCATTATTCTACTCTACTGTTTGCAAAACGATACTTCTCAATACGAACTCTAGTACTTCAATATATATATATATATATATGTAAAAACTCTGAATTTCTACCTTATATACATAATACAATTTTGTGGAAAAAAAATCTAAATAAACCCCTTCTATCCCTCTAGCTCCACCTCAGCACATAAAGCAACAACTTCATAATGTATTATAAAAATATAGTTCTCATAATAAAATAAAATTGCAATCTATAAAATTTTCTTCCCTGCATTCGATGGGAAAAAAGTACTAGATATTCGTTTTTCACCTACCCTAATCTAAGTTTTTTTTTTTTTTTTTTGTAAAAATATTATAATCTAGATGTTTTAGGAAATATATTATAATGAGGGCATAGGTTGTCAAGGAAACAGATTAGTGGAGAAAATATCAAATCCAATCACAGAGTCAAGAATTTTGAATCCATCTGATCTTCATTATAGTTAATTCGGATTCTATACTCATAAACCATAATAACGTGTTTTCCAAAAATCAGAAGCAATATTTTACTTTGTATGTTCGGGTTGGGTTACATTTTGACTCGTTAAGTTATACTATATTGTCCGATTTGATCTAATAATTTGATGGATTATTTTGAATTCAATTCATGGGGTTAAGTCAACAAACAAGTCTTAATTCAACCCTTTTAAATCTAAACGGGTTGAATCGATAACAAGAAAAGAATTCATTTTGCCTCCTCTGTCTCGTATATATTTTTTAAAATAGTCTTAAGGGTGACAAAAAAAAAAGGAGTATTGGAGCGACAATAAAATTATCTCGTTGTAACAGAGGCGGACCTAGTATTCGGTGGTCGCTGGGGCACCATGGCATTCAATATAAATTTTTTACTACTTATAAAGATTGGTACGTAGGCCTTGCTGATATGTGACTACTTTTTGAAGATATTTGCAAGTATACATGCAGTTTTTACCGAAGTTTTTAGGTGCTGGTGACTCCTCAACTCATCATGTGTGTTCGCCTCTGCTTTGTGACCTATATCAGGTTCAAGTCGTGAAAATAGCCTTTAATACTGGCATTGGAATAGACTATCTACACTGAATGCGGCTCTTCCCTAGACGCTTCATATATATGGAATACTTTATAGGCCGGACTGAAGAGCTAAAAATCACTGGAAAGAAAGGAGAGGAAAGCGCGGGACCATAGCAT